GATTCCCCCATACACGTGTCCATTTGTGTGGTTTACTTTCCTGTCTCTAATGATAAAAGAGCGTATCGCTGTCCAGATAGAAGCTGGTCAAGATCCATGTTATGTCGTTCGTTATTTTTGTAGCATTGTCAACATATTTGAAAATACAAATGCTACGTGGAATTTTACTATCAAATAGCAGACTGCATTTCTATGCGAGAAAAGAAGGCAATTTCTCGTCAAGTGAGTCGTCCTCTTTGATGCCACCTGGCGCCTCTATGAGATACTAATATGCAAGGACAACACTTTGAACAAAAATTCAGGTAACCTCTTTTAGTTTCATAAGTGTCGGTAGCACTTTTTATAAGACTATTACTATTTGCTTATAGAAATAGAACATATGTATTTGCTTTGGCACTCTTTATATCACACCTAATAGCAATTCATATGCATGCTTGTCTCGGCTTTTTAACTAGTGTCCTCATGTACACTATTTGATGTACTTATCTTGTACTACAATAGTAATGCAGGGATTCCACTGTGCAACCAAAGGTCGTGCATGTATCCATGACAAGGAAAACTTGTACGTAGACTGTTTAGAGTGTCTTACCTAAGAAGAATACTTAGGGAAAATGAAAAACTAGTGATATGTTTGCCAGTGCAATGTACTGTAGTTGTGTAAACATTAACATGCTGTCCATACAAATGATTTAAGGATTTGAAATCAATATTTTAACTTTTCAACCTGTATTAGTGTACACACTAATATCGATTTTGCCACTAGTGCCTGTAAATGTTGTATTGAATGTTTCTGTCTATGTGACCTTATATACTGATGCTGGGGTGTAATATTGACCTGACCTTAACCACAACCAACTTGAAGGTGAAGGTTTGAAATGCCATCTCAAATTGGATTTAGTAAGAATAACAAATCTCGGAAGAGTTTTTTACAAAACAGCTCAAAAGTAAATGAATTGAGAAATCATGAATTAGAGAAATCAGAAAAAATTGGTTTCTGCAATGATTTGAGTGAAAATAAAAATTAAAAGAACAAATTTCCAAGATGTAATAAAGACAATATGGATGAAGTTAAATATTAGATTATATATTACTGTACATAACACAAATTTTTTGGAGAATTAAAAATGTGGGTTTTTAAAAGAGATTTAAAATGGTCAAAGTCTTCTGTTTTTGTAATAAAATTTGGTAGGGCATTCCACACTTTTGGGGCGTAGATTATAAAAGCACGATCTCCATAACTTTTGAGGCACCCCTTCTCTAAAACAGAATGTTCTAAAATAAAATCATTCTCAGTATTAAAATGTGTGGACCGCCGTGGTAAGTTAAAACAGATAAGATCAGATAAATATAATGGTCCTTGTGAATGGATCGCCTTAAAAATAATACAAAGTACTTTAAAATCAATCCTCTGCTTCACAGGCAGCCAGTGTAATTCTTTCAGAATGGGATTGATATGGTGTGTACTATTGCACTTAATTTGACAAACCAGTCTTGCAGCTGAGTTTTGAATAACTTGTAACTTTTTAATCTGATAGTCACAAATACCAAAGAGGAGACTGTTGCAGTAATCTAATCTTGATGATATAAATGCATGTACTAATTTTTCAGTGGTTTTGTTATCTAACACTTTCCTTATTTTTCCAATGCGCCATAGTGCATAAGATGCTGATTTACACACTTCAGATGCACGCTTCCCCATAGTGCCATTTTCATCGAGGGTAACTCCCAGATCTTTTACAGAACTAGATGGTTTTATAAGAATTTAGCTGTAGATCGGACCACACTACCCGTTTTCAAGGTGTGCATCAGTATGCGCTTAGAAGTATCAGACACAACCCTGCTCTTGTCTAGTACGAGATGTGATAGTGATGATTCTCAGCAGGGTTGGAAAGTATTGCATCACCACTCAAAATTTGTTCAGGGTATGATTCTGTGAAATGCATACTGACGCACACCTTGAAAACAGGTAGTGTGGTCCAATCTACTGGTGAATTTGGGATCATTCGGTCCTGAGTCTGGTAGTTGGGTAGGCCTGAAGAAGATGTTCACTGTACCTTAAGCTCAGTGCATCTTTGTAATAGAAACAAGCTTAAGGCCACTCATATGTTCTGATTTAAATGTCATTATTATCATCATATAAAATGTCAGGAGTCAAAAATATGATGCAGTCGTGACATATGTGTCAAACACATGTTTTGATATCACACTGCCATAGGTATGTTTCATCTCATGCCAATATTAATTTTATGTCTCATATGAATTGAGTTTGATGACCTTATTGATTTTTCACACAGTCTATGCAGCCAGAGGTACAGTGATCTGCGAATGGCTTGTCATGATGGATTACGAGTAAATGTACTAGTATCCAAGCAATAAAGTGGGAGAGAAAAAATCCAGGACTGGAGAAAAAGGATGAAGTTAGATCCCCAGTATTTCTACTCAGAAGTGTTTATGTGTAAGTATAGACACATTCGCAACTATTGTTGAACAAACAGCTGTATTATAGAAGTATTCATCCCTTTGTCATGTTATTGATTAACTTGGTGTGGTCTTGTACTGGGTAGCTTTCCCAGAAACAGCAGTAGGATATTGCCTGCCAATCAGTGGCAATATTTTTTTTTGAGGTAAGGTGTATGATTATTTAGTTTGTTGCTCTGATCATGACATTGAAATTTTTTTATATGAAAATGTTGTCTTTCCTGATGCATTTGTGTAAAATTTTGCACAAACTGATCAAAAATAGTATAAATAATGACAGTAATGCTCTCTTTGCTGTGTTGCTAAAAGGTATGGGGGTAGATCTTTGTATCAAAACAGTTCAAAATTTATTACAGCGATTGCTAATTTGTCTCACTGTTAATTGTACCACCAGCGTTAGCGCTGGCGGTACACATGGTTTCGGTCCCGTCCGGATCGTTCCGCCGGCTCCGCCGGACGGCNACTGGTGGCTATGTCCCTTATTTTGTGTATGTGGGGGTCTATACGAATGCGCTTGCTCCAGCTGGTGGTACAATATTCGGAGGCGGTATCGCCTCTCTGATCCTCTAGTTAATACTTGTTTGTATTGCAACATTCATTTGGTCCCCTGTGCCCTTTACAAGACACAATATGCATGATATTTGAACTAAATTCACTAGTATACTTATGTTTTAGGTAAGCCATGATGGCTGTTGTTTCTACATTGATATCACACCTTGCGCTAGATCAGATTTTCTTCAGTGGTGATATAAAAACAACTACGGTGGCAATAGCGATCACAGGATCATTGTGTTGTTCCATCGTATGGCTTATTGTGCATTTGCTGGTCACCATCAACCCAGAGTCTACTACATTTAGAGCAAGGCGGAAAAGCAAAGGAGATTCAGTTGCATCATTCCACATAAAGAGAGCCAGTAGTCTGGTAACTATTACACACTAGATTTTTTGCTCTATTTGCAATGTATTGTATACGATAGCTGTGGGAAGAATTATGCAGGTGTTATTTGAAGTTCAATCAATTATTGTTGGGCAAGAGATTACATTTGTAATGGGTATATGAAACTTGCTTACATTAGCATGTTCTGATGACATGGATATTGATTTTTTAGCACCTTGCAAGAGAATAATTTTCTTTGCATTATCTCCCACTAGTACATGTAAATTGATGATAAATTAATTTTGATATGATAATGTATATTTTAGCAAAATAGAAAGAATCTTCAAAAACAAAGTTCAAGTCAAAGGAAACACTTGAGGCAGGTCCTACACCGGGACAGTCTCAGTGTTATCTGCATAAGGTAATTTGATTCAATGTTATTTAAGTATAATAAATTGAAGTATTTGACATTAAAAGTTAAAACAGAATGCACATGTCATTTTTAACTACATATTAATCAGATATTTTTGATATGTTTTTTAAAAAAAAGATGTACACTTCACAATTAATATATTCATTGAAAAGGGAGGAAAAAGGGTACCAAAAGAAAAAAGTGCAGGTGTTTTTGTATGTCTGCAATAAAATTGAATGTGTAAACATGCATTAGCATGTTAAACCACATCCAATGAATGTTGAAGCAAATAAATAAAAGCACTTAGACACCTGTGTTATTCAGGTACACTGAGCCACGTATGTACTTAATGTTTGTGCAACATTATTAGGGCACATTCAGATTTACACTTTATACATTGTACTAGCTGGGTCAGTCCAACTCTGTAGGGAATTCCGGCTAAAGTGCAATTAGTGGAATCAGCTTATTCAGCACACAACAGTTAATTACCTAGCATTCAAGGTGTGTCAGACAGTTAAGCTGATTCCACAGATTGGACTTTGGCAAGATTCCCCCAGGGATTTTGACCGACCAGTTATTACTATGTATGAATATGAATGCAGCCTTAGTCTTCAGTGATTTTTGTGACTTTTAAGTGACCCCTTGGCTGTCTCACCCTTGATCAGTTATATAATGTTGCAGTAAATGGAAGTCATTAGCTGTATAACAGAAGTGTGTGTGTGTGTGTGTGTGTGTGCAAATATATATTTCTGTTTGTTGTGACTGTCGTGTTATTTTATGTTGTCAAACTTTGAAAAAAATCAGTGGTTTAATTCAGAAGACTAATAATTGTTATGCAATCATACTGCAATTGGATTTTTTTTTCAAAATCACATTCAGTCACTTTCCTCTTTTACAAATCTTAATATTCTTGAGATATAAAATTTCTTTGATATGTTGCATTTCTGTGGGTTTTTATTTGTCTATGCCTTATTTCACACTGCATTGTAGTTCTATCTGAATGCCAACATAGGTTTTAATCTTTAAACTTTTTAATTATTTCATATTTATCTGATACCTTATTTCAAATATTATTTTGTCTCCTTGCAAATGGTTTGTCTGTACATGCTCTATTTGAGATTTGGTCATGGTAAGACTTTTGGGACATACAGACAAGCAACATTAAGAAAAAAACGCAATCAGGTTGCAGTTGCACAGCAACGAATTCCTCGCTTAATGTGTCAGACGTTCTTGTTTCCAGGCCTGCCATTTAATATAACTGAAACATAATTACAACCTTAAATGTCAGCTTATTGCTTATTGTATGTCTGTCCTTGCATGTATTTTAGTTGTGGTCTTAATGAGGCTCACTGGACATGCCGGCTGGTACTGTGTGAAACTTGCTGCCTTTCCAGTAAATATACTACCTGTGACTTGGGGCTGGCAGACATTGATGCCAGAGTCAAAGTAAGCAACCATGATGTGAAGAAACCTAAAGAAATTGACTTAAGGTAAGCTCGGGGCTATTGGACAATTTCCAAGTTATTTCTTATTTCTAGGTCTAGTGACTTGTCATTTATGTAAGAATTTCAGTATGCAAAAAAAAGTTAGAGAGAAGAATTGATTATTTTTTCAAGTTCCACCAAAGATGTTCTTGAAGTGTTTTAATTCTTTAGATCTAAAGAATTTTATTTGCAAGCATATCTTATATATTTTCCAGGATTGACAAGTCTGTATTTCTTACTCTTTTCAGTTATTTTCAACTGACTTCTTGTCCAAGTAGAATAGGATATGTGGGAGCCCAGCTAATTGTTTTGAATCTGTCCAACAACTGTTTGTCCGACCTTCCCAAAGAGATTGGATTTCTATTAGGCCTAGAGGAGCTGTACTTACAATACAATGGTTTGAAGGAATTGCCAGTAAGAAGCTACATTGTAAAATTCTTTAATCACAAAGGAATATTAAGATTTAATCTTTTTTCTCAAGATGAAAATAACAATTAATGTATTTAAGTCTGTATTTTATTTGATGAAAAAAGTGCTCATTTAATAACTTGGAATTTACTTGCCCCATATAATAACCTCAAAATAAAAGGTGATATCGCTATTCACAATCCGTGATGCTTTCAAGTTACGGAGCCCTGGTATGCTGGCATGACCCCAGTCATACTTCACAATCTACTGATTGTGGTTATAAATAGATCATGAATAGTCAATTTATCTGAACAGTATTCAAGAACTTCGGAGGTGCAAAACAAGCCAGGCCAAGTTATTTTTTACCTACTTCTTTCATTTTGTATCTCATACCATGTACACACAATAGACATCTTTTT